GTTCCAAATTATTGCCATCACAACACAAGCAAACATCAGCTTAAATATGACAGTCCAATAATAAAAAAAGTGCCCAACATTTGCAACTTATATGATGGAATCCATAAATGTTTAATGAAAGAAAAAGAAAAAGGCTCTCAACGAACGACTAATTGCAACCACCCATGCAAAGTGGAATAAATTATAGTTCACAATGCATAATAGATTTGATTACACTTGCTAGTACATCCAACCACATAATATTAATCAAATATTAACTAAAGCATCTGTGATATGCACTCATAACTCAACCATCTCATCAACACTTTCCCCATCACCTACTCAAGGGTTGATACTTTCCTTATCAGTATCCATCAATGATTAGCCCAAGCGGTATTCATATGCTTCAAAAGGCACTGATTCGTTTTCTTCTCCACTTTCAAAATAAACGCCAAAATATGAAGGATGGCGATGTATGTAATTATGAATTGTCATTATCGCATCAACAATTTTAACATATTTTTTAAATGAGTATATTAGCATATTTCGTAGAATAACTCAAATTTTCTTCCAAACTCCAAAAGCTCCCGCAATCACGCCCCTTGATGAAGAACGTCGCTTATTAAAAAATACTTTTCTTCCTCGCACTACTTGACTTGTCCTTTCGAAGACTGCAATGTGATATGTTGTGTTTAAAAATGGTTTTAGAAATCCCCATTGTAATGGATATTCAACATCCATTAAATAGTATTTTCCTGTTAGAACAGTCAATCTTGATTACTACATGAAACATTAATAGAGGTTTAATAAAGAGTTATCCAATCTCGAGGCGACAAGGGAAAGTTATGCATACGAGATCGTGTTGCAAACTCGAAAATTCGGCTATCGAGCACTCCCTTCCCAACCAGCCATGACGAAGTTGAAACATAAACTAAAGTCGCAGATTGTCATTACATTCTGGGTAGGTGAACGATAACGACCTATATATGTGACTTTATCAGCATTTGACATATGTGCATGAATATGTGTCCCATTAATAGCACCAATACAATCCTATCTCAAAAAGAAAACTATTTTAAATGAAAGAGTTATTCTTATTTTTGAAGAGAATAAAAAGATTTCACTATACCTTGAAGTATGACATATACTGGTGATCACATGATATTTCTCTCAGGATGGTTTGTAAAGTTTGAGCTTCAGACTTTGTAACTTCACCAGAAAAACTTATCAAGACATTCAAACTAATAGAGAAATATCTACTTACCATTTCGGTTGAATGTTCAAAATCACTTGCATGCGGACCTTATAGATTTATTATGCAATAAAATGTAAGTTGTTTATTGTAAGTTGTTATGGCCAATACCTCCTTAAAAGTCATTCTAGAAGAGCCACGAAGACCATGACTACTGTTCATTTCATTTAAAAGATCAATACAGATTACTTGGCTCATACTTCGAAACATATTATGAAATCTCCCTGGATGTCCCCCAAGAAGTTCATTTACCCATTTGTCCCCCGTAAATGTCGATGTCGTACATAGAGTTCGATAGATGTATGATTCATATGTATAATTCATAGTATGCAGTCAACACACATACAGCTGTTGTAATGATTTTTTTGCGATGTTCTCTATCATTGGGATTCATAGCTGCAAAACATGTTAGACAGTATGCAGTCAACACACATACAGCTGTTGTAATGACTTTTTTGCGATGTTCTCTATGTACTCTATCATTGGGATCCATAGCTGCAAAACATGTTAGATCATCAAAAGGTAGAACATGAAGAAGAAAAATTAATGGTATCAAAAGAGATTACACATCACAAGTGCTAACATCAAAATAAATGTTGTGTCAAAAAATTTCACAAAATGAAATTATATCAAAAACACATAGAAATAGGTTTAATCAGACATTGCGATTTTCGTAAAAGAAGCGTAAGTAATGAACCCTCATGTGTCGTGGACGTGAAAATATCTCTCTTGACAGGATCTTCAATTAGGTTCAATTATTAGAGATATAAAATAATATCATCATAAATTTCTAGTATCTATTCAAATTTTTATTATATCAGGAATTGATGAAGATTGTTGTGTAGTGGTAGCCTCATAAGATAAGTTCATACATGTTGTAACTAGCTCGAATATTTGGATTCTTAAGAATGAAGAACCAATTTTTTCATTATAAGTTGCCCTTGCTTTTAAAGAAAGTGGTGTTATTGCATTACTAGATTCACTAAGATCAAACCTGACAATGTCGTGATCTTTGAGTATGATCGATCAAGCTCCCTCAAGGCTCTTGCGAACCTTGAGGAGTCCAATAATGTTCACCAGTTGCAGCAACCCCACAAAATATAACATCAAGCTTCTCCTCTAGCTCTGGTTCAATACCACAAAACCTTAATTTCTTAGCATTTGACACTACCAGTCATTCATATAATCAGAAGGGCTTATGTCTAATAAGTGTATGCGCAAAGAAAAATGTAAATACAAATGTCATAAAAAAGATTTTACTACTAATTTCTCCTTCCACCATTTTGTTGATGCATCTATGGTGTTTTTAGTTGGACCCCAACCAAGTTCAGTGGATATTCTTTTGAGCTCTTTCCAAATATGTCAATCCTTTTTTAATTAGTCTCATTTATTCTTTAATTGAGTGCGGTCATAGACTTCCCTGGTTTTCTCTTGAAAGTTTTTAGTAATGTTATGTCAACCTTCTTTGTTGAAATGTGTGGTTGGCATATTTTCTAATTCAAACTTATTCATACAGATATCACAAAAAAAAAAAAATATTATTGTTTCTTTGTCTCATATAGCAGACGACGTGTCATTTCTTGTGTAGCCTATTTGCATTTCTAAAGTCATAATTCCATAAGGAGAGCAAATTGATGATTACCGAGAACATGTTGCAAGCAAAAGCCATACAAACATTATGAACACATTTTGACACATGCGGTGATAACAAAGGACAAACAAAACTCTTAAGTGTTTTGATCAATCTCACCATTTTGACACATGCAGTGATAACAAAGGACAAACAAAACACTTAGGTGTTTTGATCAATCTCATCAAAGGACTCACAAAAAACCAACAAACATAACTCTCTTATGGAATTTTTTCCCTCGCAGGGATAAAAATAGCACCCGAGAAGATCGATCAATTCTCTCTACTCCAACAAAAAAACACATCAAAACATGTGATTTCTCCATCCATTAGATTAGTGCATCAATTCTTTATAAGGTAATAATCAAACAATGAATAACACTTTTGCATAAGGTACTAATCATCTGAGCAGCCTTGTATAAGGCACTAATCAAAGAGTGAATAAAGTTTGCATAAGGTACTAATCATCTGAGCAGCCTTGTAAGCACTAATCAAAGAGTGAATAAAACTTTTGCATAACAAAATAATCCATCTCATCCGCACTAAAGTAAAACGTTATTGACAATTTCTTGTAAAGTAATAACCAATCCAGAACCCCACATTATATCATTATTATATAAATCATTCGATCGGCTAATGAAACACATATGCATGCTCAATAAAAATATACCATAACTTCTTTCTTTTAAACAAAAGGGTTTATAACCACCATTTTTATAAAACCAGAAAAACTCATTGGTTCAAGTGTTATAACCGTGAAAGCATCATGATCAAAGAGATTTGTATAGAAATGTGTTCTGATTTGAGCATTATGCATAAAAATATACAAGAATCAAACTATAGAAAAATAAATATCATTTCTTCTTTCCCTTTTCTCCCCCATAAAATCATATTCAAGATGAAAAACACAAATAGGACCTTCCACTGTTCACAAAATTGCAAAAGGAATGCAAAATAGATCCCCACATTACAACACCTCAAAAGGAATGGGAAAGAGGAATAGATATTATGGCAAATGTATTTCTAAATGAAGTTAAACGGGAGAGAAGAAAAATGGAAGAGAAGTGAAATAAGTGAGAAGAAGAATGTCGGAGAAGATAATGGTGAGATGAGAAGGACGGCGCAAAAGTTACCAGACGAGCAGAGAAGGTGATACAAGGGATCACTAGGGCTCGTGAGCTCGGGAAGAGGAGAAGCCGCAGAGGAGAAATCGGGAGCGCTCTCAGTGGGAGCTAGGGCCTGATTCGGCTAGGGGCAGAAAAGGAGATTGATATTAGCGAATGGTGAAATGCACTGTCCAACCCGCAATTGCTATTGTATAGTAATCAATAATGTCGTTCGCGACTAGCCGATGGAAACACAAAAAACAAATCAATTTAAATGCGGTTTTACAAGCCCAGTCAAATGCACCCATAATTCGAGCATTTCAAGCAACTTTATTACACCTAAAGTAATCTAAGAAACTCACTATTCTCATGTCATCCCTCTCCACAAATTAGGTATTTATAGAATAATAACACTAACTACAATAATAGTTTAAACGCTAATTATAGAGCACTAACAAATTACAATTTTTGCGGAGCCAAGATACCGCTGGTTCATAAATGCCATAATATTATGCCTTTAATACAAGGGGAATTTCAACTATTTGGTCGTGTAGGCCCCTCTAACTGGACAATCACCTCTATCACTAAAATTGAAGGACAGGATCTTTTAGTCTATTGATTTTCACAGATAAGCATAAATTTAAAAGACATTTCAGATCTCAGTGTATAGCATAGGGTAAAAACCCAATAAGCAAGTAGTGCATTTTTTCAAGGAAAGTAACAAGAAAACTACCAAAAATGTTGAGCTTAATTTGATGAATGTGAGAACTGTTTAGTCCACCAGATACAGTAAAGAGCTGCAGTTTTTTATTAGTCAAGAATAAAGTTAACCCTACAACTTTGGAACACCCACGACATCTTAATAACAGTGGTATATATTTGCTTTCTAAAAGAAACTACATTGTATTAGAAAAATTGAATAAAAGTTTGTTAAGGCCATTATAATATTGGTTCATAAGCATTTACAGAGAGAAGAATAATTACCAAAAGAAGCAAGCATTTCATTCCCCTAACAAGTAATTGTTTTGACATACCAGTCTGCTGGTTTCTTCGGGTTTAGGAATAAAGTCTTCTCTTCCATTTACTAGATCCATGTATAGAGGCGGGAGTTGTTCAACCAAAGGCAGAACTTGCTTCATAAACGGAGGACTAAGAGATTCTAACTGTTTCATGGCTATTTCAGCCTAAAATAAATAATGCATCACATATTAAATCAAGAATAGCCAAAATTTAATTGTGATAAAAAATATCACTGAAAGCATAAATGCAGGAAATGCATTTCTTACCCCACGACGGATACTGGGAGATGATGTGAGCTGGGTTAGGAGTGGACCAAAACTCTGAGTCATTGGTACAATAACCGGAGAAAACAGAGGTATTGCTAGGCTTGCTTTCTGAAATACAAAAATTGAAAAAAGTTCAATAAAAAAAAAAAATCTTCGTCAAGGAGATGCATGTTCAGTGAGGATAACAAAGAAAAAAGAACTGGGGGAAGTAGAAACCATAATAAAACAAGAAACAAACTATATCAGAAGCCAGAAACTTCTTTTTTTTTACTTTTACCTTTGAAATTGTTCATCAGAGCAATTAAAGGGATGGACATATATTCTTAATAGTAAGGGTAATGAAAGAATAGAGAAACTACATCATATACAAGGGCACAGCATTGACCGTAATCACCCTGAGCAGTATCAGTTCCCAAAAACTAAAATTCACTTGTATAAGTTCCGTTAAAAAGGACAGTAAGCATTAAATTTTGATAAAGAAGCACTATACAGATCAAAGCTAACTAGCTCGCAGCAAAACACCCAATACCAAGAGCACAGCTAACAGAGGAATCATTGAGTAGAACTCAATGCAAGTTTTTAATCCCCAGCATTTTTTAATATGACTGGAATAAACACGATCAAATGGAGATCAATAAACACACTACAATGAGGAAATTGCCATTGCCATTGAACTTAGTGCAACGTCTATATGCCTATATAAACTATAAAATACCACAAATCAGAACATTAAATCTAATCTTTAAGCTTCAGAATTCTTTTTTACCTTAAAATAGTGATGTATGATTGTTAGAGATCTAGAATTATAGGCGAAACTTGGGATAAGATGTAAAATGAAAGCATACAATAATTCACAACTCACAGCTTACGAACAGTTAACCAGAAAATTGTCATTTTTTATGAAAAAACATCAAACATTCTTGTTTTATTTCATATGATAATTTAATAGTTATCAAAATTCTGAAATTCTCAATAAAAATTAGTGGCCAAACCTAAACTTTAGCAATAGTCAATTTAAAGCATCAAAAAGAAAATCCTAAACATTTCACACCTGACAAAATTCCAACGCACAAAAACAATAAAAGACTAATCAAATCAAGCCCAAGGATTCAAATCACCTAAAGAAGTAGCTAGGCCTCATCCAAATTTAAAGAGAATCACACCCGAAAGTAGCTGTTGACATCTACAGCACTCGAACAGTGAACATCCAACAAGCTCAGAAAAATAGAGAAATATGAAAAAATTATTTCAATACCGAATGATTAATTATTTTGTGTGTGTCATTGGGTCCTATTCATAAACTAAGACGGAATCAAAATAAAAAATCGCACAAATTTTATATCGCACAAAATTTATCAAGGTCAGCTTGAAAATAGCAAGTTCAATTCCTTATGAATTTTAGCAACATAAATCCATTAAAAAAATAATTTCAGAATTACTTAAGGACCCAATTAGAAAGTTACACCAATCATATGAATAGAGAGACAATGAGGGAGTAGATTGTGGGGTCATAGTAAGGAGGTCATTATGTGCCGGTAACAGGGACAGGGTTGTAAGAATATAGAAGATTACAAGAGCAACAATTTCAAGTGTTGCAATATGAAATGAGGTAATAAATAAATAAGAATATGACAAGAATGTGGTTATAAACAACATATTAGTAAAAAAGGAAAGTAAAGATGATTGCATGAATACAAGACAACAACATAATAGAAGAAAAGCAACGAGTAGGTAGGTAAGTCAAAAAATTAAGTGAAACAACCTATCATCAATGCGAGATGTAATAGCTGCGGGTACACTTTAGCTGATTAAATATTTCTCCAATGCCCATTCTAGCATCCTATGTATCAAAATATAATAGATGACAAACTCAATTATTCAAATGCACCCAAAATAATACATAATATGTTACTTTAAATTACATAGATCTATTAAAATTAATTGCTTAGACTAAGCATAAACAATACAAAATATTTCATTTATATAACTATATAGTATCTAAAATATATCAAAATTCTTAATCAAAGTCTAAATTTCATTAGATACCTCATATTAGTACCCTTTTGTCTTGTAGCAGTTATACAACAAAATATGATTATATAAACGAACCTGATTCTTACTCGGTTCAACTCTAAATTTTTCTTGTTCTGAATTAAATTTAACATAATATCTAATGAGTAAAAAAGCTTAGTAGAAAAAAAAATTGTAATATAGAATTCATTGCATGAAATATCACTTGAACAAAAATTGATCTAACAATAAATAAAACATTTTCTTAAAAGCAAACTTTTAAGAGAATATTAAAAGTCACAGTGTTATAAATACTATTTATAACAAGAGTGATGCTAGTTTATTTTTTGATAAAATTTACTTTTGCATTTCAAAAATTACTTAGCATAGTAAAAATTATTGTTTCATAGTTTTAGATCATATCTTATATGTGAGACTAAGTTACAAGGGCTCACATGTATCGCCCTACATGTACAAAAGTCATAAGCATGGTATTTTGAGGACCCTTTTACCTTCAAAGCCACTCACCTTTGTTGCCTATTTATACAACTTTCATATTCATATATGAGCTCACCTTTGTCGCCTTATTTGTACATATTATCACATTTTTTACCCTATCTATACAGGTATTATAAACTTATTATCGCCAACATATCCCCCATAACATAATATTTCTTAAACTTATTACATTTTTATCATTAAATGTTTAAAAAAATGTGATTTATTTTAGAATAAACTGAGGAATTGTAGATGCAAATGACGTTTTGTTTAAAACTGTCACAAATTAATAAAATTTTTATATAACGATAATACATATGATTGAGAGCTTGTATTACCCAAATTTATGTATGGCCATTTAAACATATGTTATAGACATGCCTTTACAATGTAAGGGATTTTTACACCATTGCACCGATCAGTCAAATTTACATATAAATGAGCATGCAAAGTATTAATGATATTTTTATTTATTGTATTAAAATTGGCATATTTTACTCCAGTGATGATTTACCACTTCAAATCAAATACGCCAAAACTTCTTTCATTTGTAAAGAATAAAAAAATGACAAATTGTTCCCTTAAAAAATGACAAATTGTTAATTAATATCATTTCATTCTTATAACTTAATTTCAAATCAACTTAACCTCCAAATACACTACTAACCCAAAATGACTTCCCATAAAAGCACTAAAACCTACCACTCCAATTTGAATTGATTTGTCAGAGAACATACCAAAAATCTAAATTTTAAATTAAAAACCTAGCTTCTTACCTTACCTTCCTCTTCTTCTCCTTCTCTCTTTCTCTTCTTCTTCTTCTTCTTCTTCTTCCTTAACTATTTCCATCCTTTTCTCCCAGCCTGCTCTTTTTATGCCTCTAGGAGCTCACGGGAATGCAATTTAGGGTAACATTGAAGGCTATGGCTAAGTTTATACTACGTAAACTTATTGGTATAATTAATTAATAATGTATATAAATATATTGTTCCCTTATTTAGTCTTCGTCCTTACTTAAAGCATGTTAATGCATGTAAGTAAAGTGGAAAACACATAAAATCCACTTCCAGATAAATGGCTGAATAGTAACTTTAATAAAAAAATTATGAAAATTTTATTCAAAAGAAAACTAAATTCATAACTTCCTCATTTTTTAGAATCAGCATATATTACTATCGATCAAAATAATTGTTTTGAAGGGTAGAATTGACGTGGGGCTATGGGGGCCGGCTTGTTCTCCCATGCTCCCCTTTCCTTTCCTTTTCCTCCGATTCCCGGGCTATGGGGGCCGGCTTGTTCTCCCATGCTCCCCCTTCCTTTCCTTTTCCTCCGATTCCCTCTTTCCTTTTCCCCTCTTTCCTTCCTAGCACTTTCCAATTTTGAATTTCTATTATTTGTAATTAGTCTTTGCCTATTCTGAATTCTTCCTATTATAAATATTGCCTAAATTATGAATTCTTATTTTCTTATTCTATTTCTTATTTTAAAACATCGTCTAAAATAAATTTTAAGCCTCATTATAAATAACAGGTGGTATGCTTAGACTTTCTCAATTTTCGAGTAAAGTGATTTCTGAATTTAGATTACCGATGTCGGCATTGTTCCCTTCAAGGATTGTACCGGAAGGCAAGGAAGTGCTCCGGTTGTCTTTCGTCTTATGTGGTGACCATCTCCAAGGGTCTACGTGGCTTAACCGCTTTCTATGCTGGTAATGTAATTTTATGTGTTTATAGTTGCTACTCCTAGTGATGTAGGTATTACTATTTTTAAAATATATTTTCTAATTATTGGTTTCAAAAGTTAACTAGAATAAAAATGCAAGTGCACATATCGTTCAAGTGATATAAAACTTTCTTTTAGTCCCAAGTATCGATCCTACGGGGAAAGAAAAACTCTATTTACAACTTGATAAAATTTTACTTAAACTGTAGGTAATTTATCTAGGAATTAAGATTTATGTGTAAAAAAGTGTACTTATACCTACTAATTCTATTTCTAAACTTAAAGAAAATGCTAAGTGTTTCTAAACTAGCTTACGTAGAAGAATTCAAATTATATGGAAGTACTTCCCCTTGCAATGAGATTATAATCAGTGTAGAAATCAAATGTTTATAAATTTAAATGTAGTTTTGTGACAAATAGGAGCATACCACCCTACAGTTAAGACATTGGCTAACCTATAGTTAAGTTCCTAAATCCTTAGTTATGTTGGGTAGATTCTAGCCTACCATCCTAAAGTACCCACGTAAGCCCTCAATTTGGGTAACCAAACTTTAAGATCCAAACCCTAAATCAAATTGGTTAAGGTTCTATCTGTCACCCTAAAATCACCAATTTACACACGTTAAAACTTATCTCTCTATCTATTTACACTCACATTAAGATTACATTTTCTTCATCCTAAAGGTTAGTCTGATATTTACTAATTGAGGAAAAGTATAGCCCTCCCAGGTCAATGCATTTTCACAATATAGTTTAGCATATGAATTGGCCAAATTGCATAAGTAATTTAAGCATGAAGTAATATACCATCACAATGTTGAAATAAAAGCAATTCTAAACAATTCTAATCCTATACATGATTATTTCTCATTATAAGC